AATTTTCCCGAGAAGGAGATGATCACGTCATCCGCATAAGCCACCGCACGGCATCCCCCTATCCAAGGATCGTAGGAGGTATTGACTGCCACGTTCCATAGGAAGGGTGAGAGGACACCGCCCTGAGGCGTTCCGCTGCTTACATATCTGGATGATGTGGACAGCCCCAGTGTGGATTTGATAGACCGCCTGGTGAGAAGCTGTCTTACCAGTTTCACAGTGGAGTCGTCCACACCCAGGTCTGTAAGTGAGGTGGTAATTGCGTTTGGGGACACATTGTGGAAAGCGCCTTCTATGTCTAGGAACGCGGTTAGTGTGTAAAGTTTGGTACCGAGGGCCTTTTCAATACTTGAAGTAACGGCGTGGAGAGCCGTCTCTGTGGAGCTGCCTTTACAGTAGGCATGTTGATATGTTGCTTGACAGCTCTGAGAGCGAAATCATGCTTCTTAAATGTAGACCCAGAAGTCTCTCGAATGTCTGTACTAGGAAAGATGAGAGACTTATGGGTCTAAAATCTTCGGGGGTGGTGTGCGAGGCTTTACCCGCTTTGGGTATGAAGATCACTCTTGATCTCTGCCAAGCTTCTGGGATTCTCCTCGTAAGGAGGATTTTCTGAAAAAGATCTGCCAGCCATCTGATGGCAGTATTCCCTGTGTGGAGTAGCTGTGTCCGAATGATGTCCGGCCCTGCCGATTTATAGGGCTTGAAGCTTTTTATTGCCCACCTGATATTGTTCTCGGATAATAGATCAGGCAGCTTGAGAGCTGGACCCGCGCTTGGCGTGCTGTTGGTCAGTCTTATGGATGTGGAGCTTGGAATGTGGGTACCTAGAAGCAGCTCGAGAGACTCCTCACTTGAGGTCGTCCAGGTCTTGTCTGGCTTCTGAACGTATGCCAACGTGGGGGGAGTTTTAGAGAGAACTTTTCTTAACCTTGCGGCGTCAGAGGTGTTCTCGATGTCGGAGCAAAAGTTTTGCCAACATGATCGTTTCGCCTGTTTGAGTATTTTCTTGTATGCACACCAGTTTTCTCCCCCTTGGGATCTGGCTGCATTGAACAGTTTCCTGGCTTTTTTCCTTGACTCGCTGACTTGTGGAGCCCACCAGGTAGGCTTAAGTTTGCCCCTTGGTTTCCCAATGGGGCACGATTTTTGCAGCGCGGTTTCACATTCTGCCGTGAACTTATTAATTAGGGTAGAAGTGAACTCGACTTAATCTGGACCCTGGGTAGGGTAGTCTGGTAGTAGCCTACTGATATGCTCCGAATATGAGGACCAATTTGTGCATCTGGGATTCCTAGTCGCGATTGGTCTATCACTATTTAGAAATACCTCGAAATGAATGTATCTGTGGTCCGAGAAAGAGTGTTCTGAGAGAACTCTCCACTTGGAAATGCGGTTATACTTCTTCATAAGCCCTGTAGACTAAGCATATTCTTATAGGCTTTGGCTTAGCCTCTATGCATGCCGCTGTGTTGTCGCCGTCGCTAAAATTAGATAGCAAGAAAATATTTATATTTTTCTTGAATAAAATGCAGGTCAGCTTGTACTCATTCGTTCTCAATCCAGAAACCTTGCCTCTGCAGAACCAAGGTTCCTGAATGAGAACTACGTCGACATCGTCTTTGCTAAGACGATGCAGTAGGACAGCTGCTGCTGCTTTGCAGTGGTGGAGATTAATTTGTAGAAACCTCAAGGGCATCTACATCCATCTCCACCACTGTTCTGTCGGCCTCGTCGTCGTCGAGGATGGAGTCTTCATCATCCTGGCCTAAGGTGGCGAGCCCTTTCACGAGCTCTGACGTCTCAGAGGAATATACCTCTAGGATATCCTCTTCGTCCGACGCGACCTCCATTCCAGGATTGTCTGGAACGACTGGCTCCGCGTTAACTAGTTCTGCGTTCTCCGATGTTGGCTTACCACACGCTGTGTCTCCTCTGTAGACTCGTATGGCTACCGACTTGTAGCCATATCTCGCTAGACCGCCGCTTTTGGCTAGCTCGTCCACGGATTCTTTATTAATGACCAGGACCGTTTGGTTTTAGGGATTAGAAATCCCGTCCGGCTTATGGCGAGTTCCGGTCTCAGTGTTTTTGTTTGTTTTGCTTTTTTTTAAGGTAATATATTTGGTCCCACGAGTAGACGGGAAGGGGTGGGTCAGCCGTGGCATAGCCCGGGTACCTGACTAAAAACTGGAGGTCGGCAGGTATCCAGAGTTCGCATAGTAGAGGCCGAGCTCCCCCCCAGCCACGCATCCATCAGCCTACGCTGTTCTGTATTGGATTGGGGAAAGTTTATAGAGTTTGCAGCTCTCGCCCTACTACCATTAGTCAGCACCACGAGGAAGAGACATGACCGTGCCAAGGGCCTGTTTCCAGCCGCCCTCGCGAGGAGAGTATAGTCGCACTTCCACTGGTGTATCACAAATACGGCGCGTACCACCTGACTTGGTGATTACACGTTGATCCCCTTGTGATACACATTGGCTGATGGCCCACAAATAGTAAGTAGAGGAGGAAAATTAATTATATTTAAGAACTAATTAGGAAAGGTAAGGAGTAGAAAGAGAAAGAAGAAAAGACAAAAAGAAAGAGGTAAAGAGAGATTTATAGAGAGAGAGATTTATAGAACAGGGAAACAGGAAGTTGGAAAGAGGAGGGAAATCTCCAACCCGGTGGGGGAAAATTAATATGCCAGTCCAGCAAGCAATGCTATGCCTCGACTCACAGCAGTAAGTGGTCAGAGATTTCCCTGAAGATAATTATAAAGAATAATTTTTATAGAACAGAGAGAGAGAGAGTTCTGTCGTAAGTAAATGTGTTTGCAGCTCTCGCCCTACTACCATTAGTCAGCACCACGAGGAAGAGACATGACCGTGCCAAGGGCCTGTTTCCAGCCGCCCTCGCGAGGAGAGTATAGTCGCACTTCCACTGGTGTATCACAAATACGGCGCGTACCACCTGACTTGGTGATTACACGTTGATCCCCTTGTGATACACATTGGCTGATGGCCCACAAATAGTAAGTAGAGGAGGAAAATTAATTATATTTAAGAACTAATTAGGAAAGGTAAGGAGTAGAAAGAGAAAGAAGAAAAGACAAAAAGAAAGAGGTAAAGAGAGATTTATAGAGAGAGAGATTTATAGAACAGGGAAACAGGAAGTTGGAAAGAGGAGGGAAATCTCCAACCCGGTGGGGGAAAATTAATATGCCAGTCCAGCAAGCAATGCTATGCCTCGACTCACAGCAGTAAGTGGTCAGAGATTTCCCTGAAGATAATTATAAAGAATAATTTTTATAGAACAGAGAGAGAGAGAGTTCTGTCGTAAGTAAATGTGAAAGATCATTATAATTGGAACAAATGACCCGAAAACAATTGTGCAAAACGTAATCGGTTGTGTATCTAGCCAATACAAACGGCAAATAATTAAGGCAACCTAAGAGGGCAGAGGAGTCAACCTCACCGATAACCAACTTGTGGCGAAAAACTACTCCAAGAACAGTCGTACGATTTATTAAAGGCTTATAAGCATCAGTGTACTAGCGTACGATGGCGAGCAGAGGTTGGGATCCCAGCTTAAACCACGTAGAGCAAAAAGAAGGAATTGCTTTTGAACAGACTCAATACTTTCCTGATGCTTTCTATACTGCGGAGACCAAACGCATGAGCAGTATTCAAGCACAGTGCGTACTAGAGCAGTGTAAAGATGCTTAGTGGTATAAGGGTCATTAAATTCCTTGGACCAACATTTAATGAATCCAAGTAATCCCTTGGCCTTATTGACAATACTGGATATGTGAATGTTAAAGTTCAATATGGAGTCAAAAAGAACCCCAAGGTCTTCAACAGTCAATATACGCTGCAAAGGTCATGACCCGTTCGGCCCCGCGAGAAATTCTGCTGCGGTTCGCCGCGGGTCGCTGCCGACTGAAGCATAGGGTCGGCCGGGTCGTCTGGCAGAGGTCACGGGTCGTGCGGCTACGCCGTGCTTCGCCGAGGGTCGCCGTGCTTCGCCGCGGGTCGCTGCCGACAGCAGCAGTGTCGTACGAGCCGGTCTGCAGTAGCAGAGCGCTCGTTCGTGGTAGGCAGGCATATGTACATATGTATGTGTGAAATTTGTATGATGGTATGCTTGTGTGTATATATTTTTTTAAGGCGAAATGTGCGCGATCCCTTTCACTCTGTACCTGCTGCCTACTCCGTTTCAGCTTGACCCAGCTGTTTTGCCTACGTTTGCACAGTGGTACCTGATACTATTTTTAAGGATCCGTGGCGTTGCAGCTTGGCGTAATTTAAAGGGACTTTTTTACCTATATACTCCTATACCAATAAAACCTACAGTCAATTTGTATACTTCATTCACATAACGGCACCTGCAGCGATTCACATATGCTAGTCTATTTTTATGGAGGTGCAAATACGTATGTAAATTAAGGCGTAAAGATTTGTTTTTGTTACCATTGTTTCTATTTAAAAGGATGTTGGCCGGGACAGTTATTCAGTTTTTTACAAGATTGAAAGTGTTGAAGACGCATTACAACTTAAAAATAGTGAAATGGGCAAACTTACCAAATATTTAAATACTTCTTTGATAAGTCGTGCCTATAATATAAAACGGCACTTTAAAGTGGTCCACAACACGGAAGAAGGGCGAATTGTTAATTTAAAGTTGACAAAGGATGAATATTTGAAGCTAATCGCCAAATTAGTATCAGTCAAAGGTCTGCTTTTCAGGTGGTTCGATGACGAAGAGTGCTTCCAGCCTCTTTTGCAGCCGTGGATTGATGGATTTGGACTTACTCACAATTCCAGAAACGTTGTCACACTTGTGGAGGAAACAGCTGCCAAATTGTGCAATCTAATTTGTGAACGTATTAAGGGACGCATACTGTGCTTAAAAATTGACATCGCATCTCGCAATGATCGAAGCATAATGGGCATAAATATCCAGTACATTCGCAATTTTTTTTATTGAATACAATATGTGAATGTTAAAGTTCAATGGTACAACTTGAAGGAAAACGCACGGCGCAATATCTGGAATCGGAAGTCATGCGATTATTGCAAAAATTTTCAATTCCCATCGAGCGTGTCTACTCGATGACTACGGACAATGGCGCCAATGTAGTGAAGACCTCCCATTTACTCCAGGAGTATGATGCAACGCTGTTTTTTGACGAAGACATATATGACAACTTCGAACAAATTGATGACCAATTGCGTTTAGTACTTAGTGTGGTTCACTGTGCTGCCCACACTCTGCAGCTTGCTTCGTGGGACGTTATAAGGACGATTGAGCACGAGCTAGAAACTTGCCGCAAACCCGTTAAAAAATTGCGGACCGAGCTTCGACACTTAAATATAACGCCTCCGGTATTGGATAATGCAACGCGTTGGAGCTCCACCTACAATATGATGAAAAGCCTTCAATCATGTAACAACCATGAAAATATTCAGCAGCATAATTTGAATTGGCAGTTTGTGGATGACTTTTGTGAGGCATTTGAACCATTGGCCGACTGCACACTTGTTTTACAAACAAAGCAAATGGTGTTTGGTGATTTTTACCGGGAGTGGTTATATTGTGAAGCGCGTTTAAAACTGATGTCGCGCAATACCTTAGCACAACATTTATATTCCGCAATGACGAGACGGAAGAAAACATTGGTGGAAAATGATGCATTTTTGGCTGCTATTTATATGGATCCGCGATTTAATGACAAAGGCTCGCTTTTTATAACTGAAGAGCAAATACAAAAGGCCACGGTAAGTAATTACACCTGTTGTTATGATGCGCATCTCACTAAATGTGTTTATATTTGTTTGATTTCAGGAAAAATTGCGTACAATCTATCATATTCAAACAAATACTCAATGCCCTGAGCCGTTGGGAGACATAGGGCCGAGTACTTCGACAGCCAAGGAAAGCAAATATGACATCATTTTTGAGGAATCTTCATTAATTTTAGGACCTAGTCGTACTTCCACAGAACTGAAAATTCACAATCTTCAATTTGGTGAACGACTATGCCTCGAAGATGATATATTGCTGCACTGGAAGTCTCTTCAACGTAGGGAACCCGAGCTGGCACAAATAGTGGAAATTGCGTTGGCTGTGCCTGCAACTCAGGTGTCAATGGAGAGGGCTTTTAGCGCGTTACCCCTTATTTTTACTAAATTGAGAAATAGACTAAGTCCAAATGTATTAAGCGATATTTTAATAGCGAAACTAAATGCGGAATTAATAAACGAAATTTCTTTCGAATAGTAAAAAATATTTTAGTAACAAGTTTATTTATTTGCAAATGATCTTTTTATTTCGTATAGCCAAAAAAATCGGAAGACATTCATTCAGAAATCTAGTAACAGGTACCACTATGCAAATGCAGACAAATCTGCTGAGTGAGGTTATAAGGGATGAAATGCATCGCGCACATTTTGCCTTGAAATATATACACACAAGCATACCATCATACAAATTTAACACATATGTACATATGTACGACCCGATCGGACCCGCGGCCTCTGTCGGCAGCGACCCGATAAAACCCCCGGCAGCATTTCTTAAGGGTTGCAGCGGGTTGCGAGCACATTTTACGAACCCTGATGCTAACACGGGCTTAGAAATGTGCGAGTATGAAGATTTTAAGGAATTTATAGCAGAAAGTTGACAGCTATCAGTAAGTAAGGGAGAAATAGTGTGGGAAGATGAAATGCTATAAGGATAAGAGGTATTACTAATAGAGACAGAGGAATAAGTTGACTGGAAGAAGTTGGCAAACAAGTCAGCAGCTTCAGAATCATGCTGGCATTTTTGTCACCAAGGAAAAATGATGAAGGTAGCTAAGCAGTTTTACGTCTAGAGTTCACGAACTTATAGAATTGTTTAGGGTCCTGTGCAAATTGTATCTTGCATCGGGCAAGGTAATTATAATAATTACATCGTGAATTAAAAAGAACTAAATTCGAATTCGCTATAGAGTATTCAATAGTCAATAGATAGGCCCGACAGCTTATACTTTTTAAAGCATCTATATTTAACATTTTCAAAGTTTGAAAGTCTTGGTGAAAACCAAGGAGGTTATGATGACGCAGACGATAATTTTATTGTAGTCTTTATAAGAAGAGGTCTTTGTCAAATAACTCCGCACTTTTCCCACTCTTCTTAAGAGAGTTCTTCGCACATACTACAGGTACTTGTAATGACATGTATAATTTAATTTTGGACCGATTCGACCACACGCACTCCTACCGCCCATACAAGTATGTATAAAATGCAGATGTCACTTGTTTTTTCAACTAAAAGGTATTCACGTATAATTATTCGTGTATTAATATTATACTTAATAACACATTAATATATATTAATAATTATTTATGCTTATACAACAACAACAAATTCAACAAATTTGAGGAATCCCATTTTAGCACAGGTATTACTTAAACACTATCAGGCACTACCATTAGGTTTCTAAATATCAATCTCAACTTCTAATTCTAATGAAGAGGGACTTTCAGTTTCACCATGAGAATCACTATCTTTGTCACAGAAAAGAGAAAGAAAAGAAAATAGCTTGATATAAGAGGATCCGAGGAATTCATTGTGTATTGGAGTAGGGCGTCGGTTGGGTTGATTCCTTGCGTTTAAAATGGCGGCGTAAGAAAAAACTTGCACTTTTCGTTTTCTATCTGTTCACTTTAATTCTTTCTTCTAGACTGATTTACAAATTCCCAGTAAAGCGCTTACAAACTAATTCGACTATTGGGGAGAGAGGCAGCCGCATAAACATTCTCCCCCCCCCCCCTTGCAGAATGCAGAATAATGCCCTCAAGTGCGGGTGCCGGCGATGATCCAGCCTAGCTTGGTTTGGAGTGCCGCTGGATACCCCTCGCGAGCGGGTAGGACCCCAGGGAGAATGACGTCCTGGTATAATCCCACGCCGAATACAATAGAAATAGTGGACGGGCGGTGCCATCCGTCGTCGGCAAGAACCACGTCCTTAAAGTGATCGCCTTCGTGGTTCACAGCATGAGCTGGCGAGCGCATTACTAGAGAGGGAACTACCTCCAAAGTCACAGCCCAGCGATGATTTGACGTCTTCGATACCACGTCAACGACGCAATATCGCTCGCTGCCGGTGTGCGTGAGCTCAAGCCCTAGTGCCCTGGCCATTGACGCATCGATGGTGCTTGTTGGGGCGCAGGCGTTGATCAGCACTCTGGTTTCAGAACGCTTGGTCCGGCTTTCGATGTACACCAAGGCGGTGGGCAGGATGTTTATGCCTCTAAAAAGGTATTGCCGTATACCTGATGGCCGCTCGGCTGTCGATGATGCCCTGGATGGCAAGGATTGCCGTTGCAGAGCGCTGGCTTCGTCTCTTGTAGAAACTATAGGAGACGAAGATCGGCGACGAGCTTCAGCGCGCCTGGTTCGGGATGTTCGGGAGCGCCTTGGATGAAGGAGTTTGTGGTGGCGAGCGCTACAATGCCGACAGCAGGCGTTGCTCACGCAAGTGCCGCCTGAGTGATGATGCGCCAGACAGTTGCTGCAGTACCGATTCGCCTTCACGGCGCGAAGTCTTTGAAGAGCGTGCACGCCTCTGCAAAGTCGGCAGCGGAAACTGGAGACTCCTCGCAACGGATCCCTTGTGGTGTGGCGCGCTGAAGCGTGAGACGGCATAATCTGAAAACTGAATGGAGGCAAAACGATGGATTACTATTTAGTTGGATGGAAAGGGCAGTGGCTAGCGGTTAGTAGGTTTAGTTGGATGGAGTGGGCAAAAGGACTAGTTTTGCCACGGGCCGTCGGATGACGCCGCGAGCGGTGAGGACGTCGACCACTCGCACTTTGCAGTCGCTGCCCGGATGGGACGCTTGGACCCTGCCGAGGCGCCACTCGTTGGCCGGAATATTGTCCTCCTTGACAATGACCATGGCGCCGGGCTGGAGGTCTTCCTGTGGTTGCTGCCATTTGTTGCGTTTGTGCAGCTCTTTTAAGTACTCCTCCTTCCAGCGGAGGCACAATTGTTGGTTAAGCGCCTTGATGCGCTGCCACCGGTTTATAATGGACGGGGCGTCCTGCACGATTTCCGGTTCGGCAATAGAAAGGAGAGGACCGCCGGTTAGGAAATGGCCTGGAGTTAACGCTTGAACGTCTGTCACGTCTTCGGACATCGGAGAAATTGGTCGCGAGTTGAGGACTGCCTCAATCTTGCATAGGAGGGTGGACATTTCTTCGAATGTATACTTGAAGCCTGACGTAGCTTTGTAAAACAAAGATTTAAAGCTTTTTACGCCGGCTTCCCATAGACCACCCATGTGAGGGGCGCCAGGAGGGATGAAATGCCACGACACGATTTGCTGCCCATATGATTCGACTATTCGAGTCCTGGTGGCTTCCAGGAAGTCCCGTTCTAAGGCCTTTGATGCTCCAACGAATGTCGTGCCGTTGTCAGAGTAAATCTGTTGAGGGCACCGCCGTCTGGCCACGAAGCGTGCGAATGCTGCCAAAAACTTTTCCGCGGTCAGGTCGGATGTGACTTCTAGGTGTAGGGCTTTCGTACTAAAACACACGAAGACACACACATATCCTTTTGTAATTAGGCAGGCTCGACCTGTATAGTTTTTGATCTGGAACGGACCGGCGAAGTCGATACCTGTATTGGTAAAAGGGGGAGAAAATGTACTCCGTGGAGCCGGAAGGCTCCCCATTAGTTGGGTTTGCAGCCGCTTTTTGTAAACAACGCAAACCTTGCATGAACGGATTACGGCTTTGACGAGATTCCGTAGTCTGGGAATCCAGTATTTAGAGCGGATGAGGCTGACCGTAGACTGATTTCCTCCATCGAGTGAAATCCTGTGGGAAAACAGTACCAGGAGTCGCGACAAGGTGCAGCTGTATGGAAGGATTATGGGATGGCGTTCGTCATAGGTCAGCGAATTGGAGACGGAAAGTCGGCCACATGATCGCATGACCCCTTGGTCATCCATGAATGGATTGAGATTCAGGATGCTGCTACTGGACGCTATCTTCGTTTTATTAGACAAAGCGCAGTATTCCTGGGGGTATTCCCTTCGCTGGGCAGAGACAACTAGAACGCGTTGGGCGTTGGTTAATCCTCGGTGACTGAGTTCTGTGGACGGAGGAGAGGGTACTTTCCGGCAACGATGGATGAAGCGTTCGACGTACGCCAGTACCCTGATAGCTTTACCGAACTCGGAGAACCGCTCTAAAAAGTCCGGAGTCTTGGGTAGAGTTGCGAGGTGACTATGGATGCTGCGCTGCTCGAGAGCTGTCTCATGAGAGATCTGCTCCTGTATGGGCCAATACTGACGTGGAGTCCGGAGCCAAACTGGTCCATGCCACCATAAATCGCTATCCGCCAATTCTTGCGGCAAAACACCTCGACTTGCAAGGTCGGCTGGGTTGTGCTCGGAACGCACATGGAACCAATCCTTTCCATCCGTGGCCTGAATGATCCGAGATACCCGGTTTGCCACGAAGGTGGTCCAATTACATGCTGGCTTGTGCAACCATGCAAGGACGATGGATGAATCTGTCCAGTACTGTGTTGCGAAGCTGCTAAGTGGAAGGTGTGGAAGGATCGCTGCGCACATATCAGCAAGGAGTACCGCGCCACACAGCTCGAGGCGCGGTAAGGACACCGTTTTCACTGGAGCCACTTTGGTTTTGGCTGCCAGCAGATGCACTTGTATTTCCCGGTGTGACTCCACTCGGATGTAGATGGCAGCTCCATATGCCCGTTGCGATGCGTCGCAAAACCCATGGTATTGGAAGGAGCCTTGGTGGTGGAAATGTACCCACCTAGGGATTCGAATCTGGTCTAGCGATGGATAACTGTGGAGGAATTCGTGCCACTTCTGAAGCAATTCGGAGGGGAGAGGGTCGTCCCATCCTATCCCGCTTAGCCAAATCTCCTGCATAAACATCTTTGAACGGATAATAAAGGGGGCTAAGCAGCCTGCCGGGTCGAACAGTTTTGCAATCTGCGACAGGACTTCACGTTTTGTGAAGCTAGATTTCGACTCCAAGTCGCTGGCGACGAAGCGGAACTCGTCGGTCGTTGCCTTCCATCTGATGCCTAGCGTTTTAGTCACGCTGGCATCCTCAATATCCAGAAAGTCGGCGTGTAACAGATGTTCCTCCGGTAGGCCCCGTAGGAGCGCCTTGCTGTTGGCAGTCCACTTTCGCAGCGGAAAGCCTGCAGCGTTAAATGCTGCTTGGAGCTCTCTTATGGATGAGAGCGCGTCCGGCTGCGTATGCGCTCCAGCTAGGACATCATCTACATACATAAAGTTTGTGAGGATCCGACTGGCAAGCGGATACTGAGCTTGGGAGTCCTCAGCGAGCTGCAGGAGGACGCGGATGGCCAGGAATGGTGCACAGTTTACACCAAAGGTGACTGTGTTAAGTTCAAAGTCGCACAGCTCACCCGCTGGATTGCGGTAGAGAATTCGTTGGTAAGGGGTGTGTTCAGGATTGACTAGAATTTGCCGATACATCTTCGTAATATCGGCACTGAACACATACCGGAAAAAGCGCCATTTTAACACTTGCAGAGTTAGGTTTACTGGAGGACCGGTCCCGTATGCAAGACGTCGTTTAGGCTTTTTCCGTTGGAGGACGGATTGGAGGCGTTGAAAACTACGCGAACCTTGGTAGTGGCGCGATCGGGTTTGACCACCGCGTGATGAGGGAGATAAAAATTGGCAGTGTTGATGGCCGGAGGGACTTGGCGCATGTGCCCCAAGTCCAGGTACTCTGTAATGACAGCGTCATACTGCTCCTTCAATGGAGGGTTCCTTTTTAGTCTCGCCTCATTTCTTAAAAATTGCGCGAGCGCAATAGACCTGGAATGGCCCAGCTCGATCTGGTTTGGTTCCTTAAAAGGGAGTGAGACCATATATCTTCCATCCTTCTATCGTTTTGTTGTGCGCTGGAATAGCTGTTCACAAAACAAATCTTCAGCTTTGGGACAGTTGGCTGGGACATCCTCCACCTCCCAAAATTTTGTGAGCAGCTGATCTAATGCGGGCTCATCGTACAGAGCAACACGTGTAGCGAAAGACGCTATGATCGTGTTTCCTGCTGTGGACACTGGGCCAGTAAGAATCCACCCAAAGACAGTTTCCTGAGCTAACAGCGAACCACAGACATTGGACTGGGAACCACCCAGTAGGATGGAAGGAAGTATATCCGCACTGATTAGTACATCAATGGGAGAGCTTCGGAAGAATGATGGGTCAGCTAGCGGCAGATTTGGGAGGTCTTTTAAAGCCTCCCGAGGAAAGGAGTAAGATGGCAGGTTACCTGCTAGCTGCGGTAGCACAAAAGCTGAGGCTTCGATTTCCGTGGGTGGATGCGTGGGCGAGACCAACTTTATGTTGCACATCTTGGTCGTCAGGCCTGCTACCGTCTGGTTAAGCCCGGACACTTGGGCTTGGACCCTTTTGAAGGACAACTTTATCCGATTCCTCAGTCTTTCAGAAATAAAGGTCCCTTCAGAGCCTGAGTCGATCAGGGTGCGCGCTGGTCGAATCCGGCTCGAAGGACCATGTATTGGAGTAGGGCGTCGGTTGTGTTGATTCCTTGCGTTTAAAATGGCGGCGTAAGTAAAAAGCGCATTTTTTACTCTGCAACTTACCGCCATTTGTTCTGTCGGTCTGTCCGCCGACCCCCAAAACGGAATTAGCATCAAGCTTTCCGTTCCCTATCCAAGGGCTCAAACCAGCCACTGCGGAAGTGATTTTCCATCCTTCGCGCCTCCTATAAAGCAGCTTGTCTGCAACCAAAACGGCTTGCCAACGGCAGGTACCGCAACATAAAACACAATTGCAACACATTATTAAAAACAAATTTAATAAATCCGTCCATCCGCATTAATTTGCATTTGTACATATGCACATACATATACAACACCATATAAACCTCACATGCAACAATAAATTTGGAATTAAACACTCACATATCAACATACACAAGTGCATATATTTTTGCAACCATCAAAAGGCACATATGTCACTCATATACATATATTAATTTATACATATACTAAATAAGCATATTATTATACACATATATACACATATATTTTCCATCCGTACATAAATACTTATTCTACTAACAC